ATGGTACATTGTCCATGGAATTTGATGGAGAGGTGATAAATTTCAACATCTATGATGCTATGAGATATCCAAGTGATATTTCATCTTTGAATTTTGTGGATATCATAGAACCATTGATAGAGGAGTGTTTTGATTTGTCTAATCTTGATGTGTTAGCTCTCATTTTAGACAGGAATCTTCAAAAGGAAAAAGTGGAAAAACTTGCCAAACAATTTAAAATTGATGAAGAGATTATGGAAGTTGTATCTTGCATGGATGAGAAGAAGAAAATGAGGTTTGATGTTCCGAAACTGAAGTTATCAATGCCTAATGAGAAACTTGTTCCTTCTATTGTGCAGGCACCGAAGTTAGAGCTCAAGACTTTACCCGAGCACCTCAAGTATGCGTATCTTGGAGAGAAAGAGACTTTACCAGTGATCATCTCCACAAAGTTTTCAACAAAAGAAGAAGAAGAGCTTGTCACCACCTTGAAGGAGTATAAGGAAGCTATTGGGTGGACTATAGCCGACATCAAAGGGCTAATTCCTTCGCTTTGCATGCACAAGATCCTTATGGAAGAAGATTACAAGCCTTCCCGAGAAGCTCAAAGGCGTTTGAATCCTCCAATGATGGAGGTTGTGAAAAAGGAGATTTTAAAGTTGTTGAATGCGGGGATGATCTATCCTATATCGGATAGCAAGTGGGTAAGTCCAGTCCAAGTTGTACCCAAGAAGACAGGTATTACTGTTATAAAGAATGACCAAGGTGAATTAGTCCCCACCCGTGTGCAAAACGGATGGAGAGTTTGCATAGATTATAGAAGACTCAATTCCTCAACTCGGAAAGACTATTTCCCACTTCCCTTCATTGATCAAATGTTGGAAAGATTATCGGGAAAAACACACTATTGTTGCTTGGATGGGTATTCCGGTTTTCATCAAATACCCGTTGCACCCGAAGATCAAGAAAAAACCACTTTTACATGTCCTTTCGGAACATTTGCATATAGGCGGATGCCTTTTGGACTTTGCAATGCTCCCGCCACTTTTCAAAGGTGCATGGTAAGTATTTTTTCGGAGTATGTTGAGGAAATCATTGAAGTATTTATGGACGATTTCACTGTATATGGTAATTCCTTTCATGAGTGTTTGGGTAATTTGAAAAAGATTTTGCAAAGATGTATTGAGACCAACCTTGTTTTGAATTATGAAAAGTGTCATTTTATGGTTGATAAAGGTCTCATACTTGGTCATATTGTGTCTTCTAAGGGTCTAGAGGTAGACAAAGCAAAAATTGATGTCATTAAGTCTTTACCTTATCCCACTTGTGTTCGTGAGGTACGTTCGTTTCTTGGTCATGCAGGTTTTTATAGACGATTCATCAAAGATTTTTCCAAGATATCCCGTCCTATGTGTGAGCTTCTACAAAAGGATGCAGAGTTTGAATTTTCCAAAGAGTGCAAGCAAGGTTTTGATCAGTTGAAGGAGTTGTTAATCTCAGCACCAATACTTCAATCACCGGATTGGAGTTTACCCTTCGAAATCATGTGTGATGCTAGTAATCATGCAGTTGGTGCAGTGTTAGGGCAAAGAAAAGACCGAGTTCTTCTTCTTGTCATTTATGATGCCTCAAAAACACTTGATAGTGCACAGGGCCAACTACTCAACAACTGAGAAAGAATTGCTATCTATTGTCTTTGCTTTAGATAAATTTCGTCAATATTTGCTAGGTTCTAAAGTAGTTGTTTATTCTGATCATGCAGCTATTAGGTACCTAATTGCAAAGAAGGATTCGAAGCCTAGACTCATTCGATGGGTATTACTCTTACAAGAGTTTGATATTGAAATCAAGGACAAGAGCGGAAAGTCAAACCTTGTAGCTGATCATCTTAGCAGGATCGTTTCTCCCGATGACTCAACTCCCATTCATGATGCATTTCCCGATGAGAACCTATTTTCAGCAAAAGTTGCCCCATGGTATGCAGATATTGTGAACTATATTGTCACAAATCAATTTCCACCAGATTTGACTCGATGGCAAAGAGATAAAATCAAGAAAGAAGCCAAGAGGTATGTATGGGATGAGCCATATCTGTGGAAATATTGTGCTGATCAAATGATTAGATGATGTGTGCAACAACATGAGATATCTTCTATCTTAGCATTTTGTCACTCTTATGCTTGTGGAGGGCATTTTGGTCCTCAAATAACTGCAAGAAAAGTATTAGAGAGTGGATTTTACTGGCCAAGTATTTTCCATGACTCTTATGTTTTTTGTGCAAGCTGTGATAAGTGTCAAAAGATGGGTTCTTTAAATTCAAAGAATCAAATGCCCCTAAATCCCATTTTAGTTTGTGAAATTTTTGATGTTTGGGGCATTGATTTCATGGGACCTTTTCCATCATCTTCGGGTTTTACTTATATCCTTTTGGCTGTGGATTATGTTTCCAAATGGGTGGAAGCAAAAGCTACCCGTACTAACGATTCAAAAGTTGTGATAGATTTTTTTGAAGGCTAACATCTTTTCCAGATTTGGTGTTCCAAAGGCCTTAATCAGTGATCGTGGTACACATTTTTGCAATCGTATGCTCGGGGGTGTTTTGAAGAAATATGGTGTTACTCATAAAGTTTCCACAGCATACCATCCACAGACAAACGGTCAAGCTGAAGTGAGCAATCGACAAATCAAGGGTATCTTGGAGAAAACTGTGAATACAACAAGGAAAGATTAGAGTACACGTCTTGATGATGCTTTGTGGGCGTACCGCATTGCATACAAAACTCCAATTGGGATGTCTCCATATCGCATTGTTTTTGGGAAGCCATGTCGATTACCCGTTGAGTTGGAGCATAGAGCTTATTGGGCAGTCAAACAATTCAATATGGATTTAAATGAATCAGGAAAAAAGAGGAAGCTTGACATACAAGAGCTTGAGGAAATTCGCAATGAAGCATACGAGAATGAAGTTCTTTACAAGGAAAAGACGAAAGCATACCATGACAAGATGATTTCACGCAAAGTATTTCAAACCAGGTCAAAAGGTATTACTTTATCATTCTCGTTTCAAATTAATTCCAGGTAAATTAAGGTCCCGTTGGGTGGGACCATTTGTTGTCACTAATGTTTTTGAGCATGGTGCAATAGAGATCACAAGTGAGAAAACCGGGAAGATATTTAAAGTGAACGGTCATCGTTTAAAGCCTTATTATGAAGGATTTGAGGTTAAAAACGAGGAAGTGGAGGAAGTAGCGGATCCAAAGTATCAAGATTGACAAATAATTGGGGTCCATGTCGAGCCACCGACTTTAAACAAGGGCAGCTACCTGAGAGGCAACTCGGGGGTATTTTGGTCATTTTTGTAAAATCCTCGTATAGACATTTTCTTTCAAGTTTTTGTGTTCCAAGGTTCTTAGAATAATTAGGGGAGTCTAAAAATAATTTTTATGAAGATCGGAAGTGAGCGGATGCGAAAATAAGAAAAATCTCGGTGCGTTTCTCAGAACGTTACACGGGCCGTGTAATGCATGCCTTTGCAAAACACGGCCATGTAATGAAGATAGGTATCTGGAACTTTGGAGTTACACGGTCGTGTAACACTACTCTTTCCATTACACGGGCCGTGTAACGAGACCTGTAAAAAAAAAAAAACACGGGTTTTTTTTAAGACTTCCAGCTCTTTTTCTTTTCTTCATTCAGTCGACACTCTTGTCCCTCTCGTTCCCTTACACCGAACACACACATGCACCACAAATCTTCGATTTTTCTATGGAATTAAGCATGCAAGGTATGAATTTTCATTCTCCTTTCTTCTTCCTTACACTCAAGATGCTTCAAAACACCATTTTCATGGTGATTTTCGGATTTTTAGAAGAACCCTAGAAATTGGGGTCCGAAAATTTTGTTTTGATTTCTTCAAATTGTTTGTAGGATAAGCTTGGGGAAGCATTGTGGAAGAGATTACAAGTGATTTCAAGCACCAATTTCATGTTTCAAGCTCTAAATCGGGTATTCTCTTTCCAATTCTTTGACTTTGCATTATTAGTCAAAAAGCTTTAATTTTTGTGCTTAAACTGTCACATTGAGTGTTGATTGTGTGTTGGTCATATTAAGTGGTTGTGCATTGTGCTTAAGAGTCAAATTTTTGTGCTTAATTTGTTTTTCTCATGGCTTCATCATCTCGTGGGGGTGGTAAAAAAGGTAATTCCAAGCGTTCTAGAGTCGTTGAGTCTAGTGATAGTCAACGTCACCCAAACCCTCCACGCCAAAATTCAGGTGCATTGACATTCTTAGACTCTCAACAAGAAGCTAGGTATCACAACTTTCTTGGTCGTAGGCGTGCAGCACAGAAATTCGCGGACATGCCCACTCTTGAATCCCTCCATATTCATGACCAAGTCTATGTTTTGTTCAGAAATATTGGATGGGAAGGTTTGTTGTCATTGCATGATGTTGGGTATGTCCAACCAACTCTTGAATTTTTGTCATCTGTTTCTTTCAATCAAAGAACCAAGTATCTCTCATTCCGTGCTTTTAGCCGTAATTATCAGTTGCATAAAAATCAATTATGTGAACTCATTGGTGCTCCAATTGTTAACACTTACGGTCCATTTCACATATTGAATTTTCCATTTCAAGAGGATGCTAAAGCTTTTTGGGAGAGAATTTCAGGATTGACATACTTTCCAAGTGCTGCCAAAGCATCAAGTATCATTCATCCTGTTCTTAAGGCCGCTCATCGTATCCTTGCTTTTATTGTATTTCCACAAAATGAGATAAGCAAGGCTGGCCAAAAAGAATTAGAGCTTATGTGGTGTATGATTCATAACCCAAATCAACTTCCTGATTTTGGATTATGGATCATTTTTAAATTGTTGAAAATATCCCGCAGCACCAGTGGTAAATTACTTTGTGGGGGTATAATCACAATTATCCTCAAACACCCAGCTCTTGCCATTCGCTTTCCCCCCGGTCTCGATGTTATTGAAGGAGAAACTCGCCTCACGACAAACATCTTTCAAAACATGCATTTGTTCCATACCGATTATGAAACAGAAGCCATTTATTGGGCTGTTGATAGTCGTGATTACCTTAGCATCGATCATCACAATTCTCAGCTTCTTCGATTGTCCAATCCCATCCACAACACTGTGTGGCGCCTTAGGTCCAATTTAGGTGTTCCGATGCCCGAGCCTGATCCTGATTCTGATGAGGATGAGCCCATTCCTGATGCTGCTGCTCCAGTGCAGCAAGAACTTGTCATGCATCCCCATCATGACATGTATATGCAAGAATTTCGTAGGTTGCATGAAGACAATCGGCGTTTGCATCGTGACTATTCTAAACTTTATGATAGTGTTTGTGAGATAAATACTGAGATGGTGGAGTTTAGGGAAGAGTTTTATACCTTTAGAGACAATCAACAAGCCCGCAACCAACATGTGGATTTCCTTGTGACCGACATGCATAGGGTACTTTGTTTAGGTGGTCAACCTACACGACCACCTTATTACCCTCAATATCCACATTACCCTCACCATACAATCCACAATTTCCACATCAATATCCTCCTCCATTCCCACCTCAAGATCCTCCTCAATAATTTGTCCCGCTATCTTCCCAAGCATCGAGGACGATGCATATTTTTAAGCTTGGGGAGAGGTGTATAATAAACAAATATATATATATATATATATATATATATAAATAAAATAAATAAATAAATAAAAATATATATAATAATAATAATAATAGGATTTATTCAGCTTTTTCAACATTAGACTTTTTGCATTTTAAAAGTCAAATCAATGTGTCCAAAGAATAGTTGTTAAAGTTGTTTATTATTTTCATTCTAGTTTTCTAGTTGTAAATATTAGAAGTTTATCGTTATTTTAAACCAATTTGTTTTCCAAAGTCAAAAACCGCGAGATCATCAAAATGACGGATTACAAAGTCAAATCTCAACAAGTATTTGTCATTTATAAAGAGTTCTTCAAAAGTCAATTTATCATGTTTATTGAAAAAAAAAGTTTTAGTTTATGTTTGTTTTTCATTTCTTTTGTAATATTTAAGTTGAGTCTTTGTACATATCCATGCTGCTTTCTAGTTTATTTAAAAAAAAAAGAGAACCGAACCAAGCCTTTCCAGATTTTTCATGATGATATTTTCATAGGAAATTCGTTTGTGTTTGATTTTGTTGGCTTGTTTAGCATTAGAAGTTTATTTTGAAGCCAATAATTATGATTATATGGTTCTATTTTGTATATTTGTTGTTGTATATTTCTTTTGCGCTCCTGATATGGTTATGGATTTATCTCCTATTGTGGATTACCGAGAGTTGACATGGATTTTGGAAGAAGATATGAAGATTGTGCAACCACAAGCTATTGAAGAGCATGAGGAGAAAACTAAGAAGAATGGGATATGCCTTACCGACGCCGAGTGCCCTCCACCTTAAATAACGAGTGTAGATTCTTTGATAGGAGTGAGTTCACACATCTTGTGAAATGAGTGCATACACGAGTTGAGTGCTTCAGTGAGTACGCCCTATAGATTGAGATGCACCTACCTTGACAGTAAAAGTTACTAGGAGATGCCTTATACTATAGTTCTATGCAATTAAACCAAGTGGTTGGCAAATCTTTGTGTTCCAAGTCTTCTACTGTCCTGATTTGGAATGCAGTACATTCGTATGTGTTTGGGGTATAGGTTGACAACTCTTTAATCATGATTATGTTGTCGGGATAAATAACTTGAGGCATTCTTTCTTTTTATTTCTATGTTTGCATTTCTTCATTTGCATTTGCATTCATCTCTTCCAAGGTTAATTTTTATTTTGTTTTCTTGAGGACAAGAAAAGGTTCAAGCTTGGGGAGATTTGTTAGGTGCATAAATTGCACCTTTTGAATAAAATCTATTAGAAAAGGTTCAAGAAAAGGTTCAAGAAAAGGTTCAAGCTTTAGAGTTTCAGCTCGTTATTCATAAGTGAATAAAAAAATCTATTAGATTTTTTATTACAGTATATTCGTTATTCACTTATGAATAAAATATATGCGTAACTTTTTTTATAGTTTAAGTACCGTTCATATATAAATATGACACGCAATAAAGTTTTCTTACTTAAAATATATTTTTTACATCATCTTTCATCATATATTATATTTATATATGAATAAAACGTGTATTAGTTGTCGTCATATTTTATATTCATATATGAATAAAACATTTATCAGATTTTTGTGACAGTTAATTTGTTATTCATATATGAATAAGTAGTATAAATGATACTTAAACTGTAAAAAAAATTAATTATATATTTTTATTCATAAGTGAATAACGAATGTACTGTAGCAAAAATCTGATGCATTTTTATTCACTTATGAATAACGATAGCTGAAAATATATTTTTTTTTTATTTTATCTTAAAAGTATATCAATATGGATGTCTATTTGTAGAGAATAAAAAATCATAAATTTTGGTATATTTAAAATCATTTTTCGATATAAATAGCTTCTTAAAAATTAAAAAAACAAAAAAAAACTATGTTTTTGTATATATTAAGGTAATGATTAGCATAGTTTAAGGAAACATGTTTTGTTGAAACACACGTGTATTCCTTATCCATTTCCGCTGGTACAACAAAGGCTTTTGCGGCAAAAATAAATGAGTGGCTGAGAACGATTCCCCATTCTCAACCTTTTTTATTTTCTCAATTGAACTTACCTCTATATATATATATATACTAGGCTGGTACACAATTTTGGGGTGTAATTTATAAATTTTAGGGTGTCGGTCCTTAATCTCAATCTTACTAAATCAAATCTTTATGGGGTAGGGGTTAAACCAGTGGAGATTGCTAACTTAGCCTCGTTTACCGGGTGTTCGGCTGGAACTCTTCCCTTTGTTTATCTTGGTATCCTGGTTGGAGAATCTATGGTTCGAGTTAAAGGTTGGTAGATTATCATCGGCCGTTTTAAGAGGAGGTTATCTTCTTCGAAGGTCAAGTTGTTGTCCATTGGAGGTCGTATGACCCTTATTAAATCGGTTCTAGGGATTTTGGGTATTTACTTTTTCTCTATGTTTCGTCTTCCTGCGACTGTTTGTCACTCTCTAGAGGCCCTGAGGGCTCGGGTTTTTTTGGGGTGTTAATGAAGGTCAAAATCGTATTCATTGGGTTAATTGGAATTTGATTTTGAACTCATATGCTCAAGGAGGTCTTAGGGTTGGTAGTTTGGATGCTTTCAACCTAGGCCTTCTTTATAAATGGAAGTGGTGGTTTTTTAATGACAAGGGAGCTATTTGGGTTAAAATTGTCAAATTTTGTCATGGGAAAGGTGATGATTTCTTGGGTGACGCGAGAATAGGAAGTGGAGGGGGTGTTTGGCAAAAGATGGTAGGATCCATTAATCATCTTCATGAGAATGGTTGTATTCCTTCTAATTTCATGCATAGAGTAGTGGGGGATGGGGCTCAAACGAGGTTCTGGAAGGATGTTTGGTGCTCAGATATTCCTCTTAGGGAGCGGTTCGGGAGACTCTTTGCTTTGGCCCCTAATCAAGATGCTCGGGTTAGTGATTATTTGGCTTCGGGGGGTTGGAATTTCCATTGGCGTCGGGTGATTAGAGGAGGGGTTGAATTGACCCAATTTGATGATCTTGTGGAGATTTTAAATCCTATTTGTATAGGGGAGGTGTCAAATAAGTGGTATTGGGAGCTTGATCCGTCAGGTATATTTATTGTTAAATCATCAAGGAACTGGGTTGATGATATGGTGCTACCTATGGGTAGTACGCCTATTAGGTGAAACCGTTTTGTCCCTATTAAAATTATCATTTTTTATGGCGTGTGCTTTTGGATCGCATTCCGGTTAGAGCTAAATTGGTGGAAGGGGGGGGGGGGGGGGGTGGTGATAGATTCCTTATTGTGTCCCGTCTGTCATAATTCTCAAGAAAGTGTGAATCATTTGTTGCTGTAGTGTTCGGTTGCCGATCAGGTTTGGAGTCGGGTTGGGCATTGGCTTCATTTGGACCTTCCTGATTTTTCTTCTATTCGTGACGTGGTGGATTCTAGACCGGCGGTTCATATGGAGCGCTCGATTGTTGAGTTGGTGTTCATGGTGGTCATATGGGTGCTTTGGACGTTTCGTAATTCTTTACTTTTTAGTAACAATAAACCTAGAAAAGATAGACTTTTTGATTCTGTTCTGGATCTTTCTTTTCGTTGGTTTTCTTTTCGGAATTCTAAGGCTAGGGTTAATTGGATGATGTGGTTACAAAATCCAATCCGGCATTAATTTGTATTTTTCTCTTGCTCCTTGCTAGAGGTTCGGTTTTTTAATATATGATGCTGCTGTTCTAAAAAAAAGTATATGATATTAACATACATATAAACATTTTTTGGTTAGCAATATTTATTTAGTTAATTTTTTATTATATATTCATATGTGAATAAATAATAATTTTTTCTGCAAAATTTAAAAAAACAGCAAAACCCTGTTTTAAGATCCTAAATAGTACGACACAGAAGAAAAACATTATTTCAACACAAATATTGAAAGAGTGATTTTAAATTTATTTTTCTCTGGAAGATATGACCTCCTTGACCTTATTAGAACCCCTCTATGTTATAAGTGATTCGTCGTTATGGCTTTTAAACTTGTGGAGATCTGAGAAAACGTTTTTGCTGGAGAAGAAGATGAAGACATGTTTTGGTATGATATAGTTATCCTATTTGCAATCTTTATATATAACTTTGCACTAGTGGTAAGTGGGACAGTTGTTCTGGTATACATGCAAAAAGGTATAACATGTCTGATTTTTAGTTGTCTTTATATAGACTTAAACATGAAATCAGTAATCATACCAATGACAATGTAATTGTATGGCTTGAAAATATTGTTATTGGAAAATAGACAAGGTCCTTTTCCTTAAAGTTCGTTTCAATATTCCTCAAGTTGTGCTAAGTTTATTGACCGATACATATGATTTACCGAAAACGAATCTCATTGAGGTTGTACATGAGACGATACAACAAGTGTTCATGATTCAAATCAAATTAAGTAAATAGATTCAACTTAATGGTATATAACTAATTTTAAGCGTTAAATGATAATAATTTTTTTTTCGCATGGGGGGGACTTTGTTCATATCACACCTCATGTTGGGACCATGCTTCGTAAGAGGATGCACAAGTTTTAAGCGTGACATGAAATACATGTCTATTGCTTCAACTTTGAAGTTACAAATTCTATGTAAGCTAAATCTGTACATCTCGATTATAAGATTCGTAGATGGAGGAAATGGAAAAAAACGGTGTACCATGTGGGCATGCGAAAGCTACGATAAGATTGTTTAGCATGACATATTAACTGTAACAACCCATAATTTTCACAACATTTTAACATTAAACTTTTGGAAAATATTAGAGTATTTCACATTGTTTACAAAACCAAAGTTTCAAAAATCTTCAAAATATTTCTAGAAAATCATGTATGGGTGTACCAATCATATCCTAACCATAGTTAAAGCAACAACAAATAAAGCATGGAACAAAAATTCAGTCCATGTTCTTGATGCTTATAAGTTCACTCTCTCAAAGGCTTGCTACCTGAACTTGAAATGAATGGCAACAAGATATACCAGACAAGAAGTTTGGTGAGTTATAAAGTAACATAACATACATAAATAATTTCTTATTTCACATGCTTCACACATCTAACTAGTCACCTAATTAACTATGCATCTCTAATCTCACCGGTAAGCAGTTAACTGGTCTATGTAATTTCTACATTTTCCATGCAAAAACTCTAGATAAACTTCTTTCTTTGGATCCCTATATTTTGTTCAATAGATACATATACACATAATATCATATCAACATAACATTCACATAATCTCATTTGGACAAAACATTAACATAACTAATTTTATCCAACATGTCACTATCTAACAAGGATATAATCTACTTTCACATATTCATCTACACATACTTTAACATCAAATCCATAGCACAAGATCGTAATCTAAAGGAAAGTATAACTCACATGTTTGAAGATAATAAGAACCTACTTCCAAACATTCTTCAAAGCTTCTTATGGAGACTCCAACTCTTCTTTGCTACAACATATTTCATTCACACATTAAGCCCCTTTAAACATGTCTTAAATCATTAAGAGCTTAATATAGATTTTAACCAAAAATTTCATACTTTATATAAAATTTCATATTGATAATCCTTTGCCAATAAATTTGCTAAACTACTCAAATGTGGCTTCATAACACTTTATCTATAAAGTTATTAACACATATCAACCAATTCATGATTTTCCAAAACTAGGGTTTAAAACCCTAACAACCAACACATGGATTCAACCATGGAATCTTCAGAAAAATCATGTACTATGCTTCTAAAAGCTTGATTAAACATCAATAATAAACTATCTAAGAAAAATCTTGCAC